TTAAATTGAATTGAATTATTTGAATTGAATTGAATTGAATTGAATTATCTGGTTATCAGGGCTCCTGTCAGTGGGGTGGATATATCACATCCCAAATGTTGATAGTGCTGCAGGCTCACTGAGAACAACATTAGATTCTATTGCCCCTATAAAGAGGAAAATATTAAAACATAGGAGGCTAATTAAAGCAAAAAGCGCGGAAACATAACATTGCAAAACTTGACTCTGTCGTTTAATGCTCTAATGTCTGTTATACAGAATATATATATATATATATATATATATAGTATATAACTTAACCCTCATGCTAACTTGACCTCCTGCTAACTTAGCCTCATTCTAACGTAAGAAAGTTCTTGCCTTTGGAAGGTGTCAGTGAGCAGGGCGATCAGCAGGTTGACACACAGGATGGACGACGCTGCCAGAAATGTCCCACACAGCAGAGGAGCCATAACAGCGTCCTCCGCCGCCATGGCAGCGTACTCGTACTCGTCCACCAAAGTGATCCTGTACAGACTGAACAGCAGCCCAGAGACAGACTGCATGCTGGGAACTGACGACGACCCTGTAACAATGTCATCATCAGAGACAGCTGGACATTAACAGGAACAGCTAACGTAACTTAGTATAAAGACTGGAAACAAGGAGAACAGTAAACGTAGCTTAGCATAGAGACTGGAAACAGGGGTAAGCAGCTAGCTTAGCTTAGCATTAAGATGGAAATAGGGGTTTAACGGTTAATGTAACGTAGCATAAATAATACTGTAAACAGAAGTTTCAACATGGGCGTCTGGTTAGCTCAGTCGGTAGAGCTGGCGACCCATACATGGAGTTGCTGCAGCGGTCAAAGGCCAAAAAATACCTTAAAAAAAAAAATGTTTCAACATGACGAAACCAGGACAGGAAACAGGAAGTCCCCCAACCGACCTCCGAACATGATCCAGAAGCTACAGGCGTACGGAACGAAGATCTCACAGTACAGGAACAGGAAACACATCACGTCCCCGACAATGTTCCCCAACATGACGATGAACGGACCCATTGACCTGCATGCACACAGAGTGAAACCTCACTGCCATACAGAGGATCTATCCCAACATGTTTGTTACCATGGTAACCACCTGAAGGCTCTGACGTGCTTCATCAGTCGCAGCCAGAGGAAGATGATGGTGACGGAGAACAGACGCAGACTGGCGGTGTGAAGACTGACAGACGGACGGAACACGTCGGCCATGTGGACACCGAACGATGCCGTCAGCAGAGAGTATACGAGCCAATCAAACACGTTCCTGGCGGCACGCACACACACGTTCAATGACTTAATTAGTTCAGTTACAGTTTGATTCAATTAATATTAAATAATATTCAATGAATCTTATTATTATCTTGTACCAGAAGTCTCGGCTGTAGCTTCCCCTCATCCTGCTGATCGGTTTGATCTGATCCAACAGATACACTCTGTCCTACACACACACACACACACAGACACACAGACACACACACACAGACACACACAGAGACACACACACACACACACACACACACACACACACACACAGACACACACAGACAAACACACAGACACACACACACGTTGAGCGTTGGCTTTGGCTAAGCTAGCTATTTCCAGGCTTTATGCTAGGCTAAGCTAACAGTAGCTGGCTGCAGCTAACCTGAGGCCACATGGGATGTGAGCAGTGCAGGTCGTCATGGAGACGACGCTCCGCCCACCGCCGCCAGAGGCGGAGTTTCCTCCTGGAACGCAGGATGTCCTGAAGCTCCCTCAGCACCTCCTCCACAGTCAACAGGAGCGCCAGGACCACAAGGAGGACACGCCACCAGTCCTGAGACAGGTACAGACAGAGAGACAGGTAGAGACACAGACAGGAACAGACAGACAGAAAGACAGAAAGACACATTAAGAAACAGACAGGTAGAGACAGACAGGTGGAGACAGAGAGAGACAGGTAGAGAGACAGAAAGACAGACAGGTAGAGACAGAGAGACAGACAGGTTGAGAAACAGACAGCTGGAGACAGAGAGAGACAGGTGGTTAGACCGGTGGAGAGACAGGTAGAGAAAAAAACATAAAGACAGACAGACAGACAGAGAGAAGCAGACAGACAGTCAAACAGAGAAAGGCAGGTAGACAGACAGACAGGCAGGTAGACAGGCAAGTAGAGATAGACAGATAGACACGTTGAGAAACAGACAGGAATAGACAGACAGACAGGTCGATAAACGGACAGACAGACTGACAGACTGACCTGGGGAAGAACATAGCGATCAGGTGAGTCTCGGTGGACGGACACAGAGATGGCTACGGTCGTCCAGGAGACATTGAACAGGAAGTTGAGGATGAGGAGAATCCACGCCCCCAGCCTGGCAGACAGACAGTTTGAGTTGAATGATGTAATTATAAATCAATCAATAAATCAATTAGGAGTGTAGTTTACCTGCCGTACAGTTTCCATTTTATCTGAATTAATTTCAGAAAGACTGGATTCATGACCAGGTCCAGTTTGTTCTGCTGCACCACCACTTCCAGCTGACCACACAGGAACCACACAGTTAATTTATAGTTCACTGTTCACTGTACACTGTTCACTGTACACTGTACACTGTTCACTGTTCACTGTTCACTGTTCACTGTGACTGTTCACTGTTCACTGTACACTGTTCACTGTTCACTGTGGATGTTCACTGTAGAGTGTACACTGTATACTGTTCAATGTACACTGTTCAATGTACACTGTTCACTATACACTGTTCACTGTACGATGTTCACTATACACTGTTCACTGTACACTGTTCACTGTACAATGTTCACTGTATACTGTTCAATGTACACTGTTCAATGTATACTGTTCACTGTTCACTGTACACTGTTCACTGTATACTGTATGATGTTCACTATACACTGTTTACTGTACGATGTTCACTGTATACTGTTCACTGTTCACTGCATACTGTTCATCGTTCACTGTACACTGTACCATGTTAACTGTACACTGTTCACTTTGTACTGTTCATGATACACTGTTTACTATATCCTGTCCACTATATACTGTTCAATATATACTGTTCACTATATTCTGGTCAATGTATACTGTTCACTGTTCACTGTTTTCTGTTCACTGTATACTGTTCACTGTACACTGTTCACTGTCCACTACTGTTCACTATACACTGTTCACTGTATACTGTTCACTATACACTGTTCACTATACACTGTATATTTTATAGTGCTCACTGTTCATGGCATATTACAGTGACAAACCATAGTATTATTCCTTGCACAAGTACACATAGTTAGCCAAGAAACTGAACTTACTGGAGACGTTGGCTCACTGATGACTGCTTCTACAAAACACAACAGACAGTCAGTCAGACAGACAGACAGACAGGTGGAGTCAGACAGACACTTGAGCTAGTGAGACAGTACTAGTAGTGTTGGGCCACTAGGGGTCCCGTAGATCAATGGTTCCCAACATTTGTCTCTAATGTCAGTCAGTCACAGTCCTGTGACAAGTAGGTTCTAACATTTTATTTTTTACGGTTGATCTGTAGATGTTTAGGTCAGTTTGGATGCATTTACATCTGAACATTCCAGCCATTTATACATTACCATTAGCTTTTTCACCATTTTAGACTTTTAGTTAACTGTTTCCTATCTTACTTGAAGCAATCTACAGTATTTATACACTACACTACTTTTAAGTAACTGTTCCAACTGTTTATCCATTACATTAAGCTAATTTCAAAAACTTTAGTTAATCATTTAAACATTACTATTAGAAGTTATGGATAAATAGTTGAAATACAGTAAGATGATAATTAGCCAGTTATTCACTTTTATGCTAGCTGTAATGTTAGCATTCAGGTGTTCATAGTACTACTATATTAAACCTGTAGAAGTATTATATTAAAATATTAAAACTGTAGTAGTACTATATTGAACCTGTAGTAGTACTGCACTAAACCTGTAGTAGTACTATATTAAACCTGTAGAAGTATTATATTAAAATATTAATACTGTAGTAGAACTATATTAAACCTGTAGTAGTACTATATTAAACCTGTAGTAGTACTATATTAAACCTGTAAAAGCATCATATTAAACCTGTAGAAGCATTATATTAAATCTGTAGTAGTTCTATATTAAACCTGTAGAAGTATTATATTAAAACTGTAGTAGTACTATATTAAACCTTTAGAAGTATTATATTAAAACTGTAATAGTACTATATTAAACCTGTAGTAGTAATATATTAAACCTGTAGTAGTATATTAAACCTGTAGAAGGATTATATTAAAATATTAAAACTGTAGTAGTACTATATAAAACCTGTAGTAATACTGCAGTAAACATGTAGTAGTACTATATTAAACCTGTAGAAGTATTATATTAAAACTGTAGTAGTACTATATTAAACCTGTAGAAGTACTATATTAAAACTGTAGTAGAACTATATTAAACCTGTAGAAGTACTATATTAAACCTGTAGTAGTACTATATTAAACCTGTAGAAGTATTATATTAAACCTGTAGAAGCATTATATTAAATCTGTAGTAGTTCTATATTAAACCTGTAGAAGTATTATATTAAACCTGCAGTAGTTCTATATTAAACCTGTAGTAGTACTATATTAAACCTGTAGAAGTACTGCAGTAAACCTGTAGTAGTACTATATTAAACCTGTAGAGATATTATATTAAAACTGTAGCAGTACTATATTAAACCTGTTGAAGTATTATATTAAACCTGTAGAAGCATTATATTAAATCTGTAGTAGTTCTATATTAAACCTGTAGAAGTACTGCAGTAAACCTGTAGTAGTACTATATTAAACCTGTAGAAGTATTATATTAAAATATTAAAACTGTAGTAGTACTATATTAAACCTGTAGTAGTACTGCAGTAAACCTGTAGTAGTTCTATATTCAAATATTAAAACTGTAGTAGTGCTATATTAAATCTGTAGTAGTACTGCAGTAAACCTGTAGTAGTACTAAATTAAAATATTAAAACTGTAGTAATGCTATATTAAATCTTTAGTAGTACTGCAGTAAACCTGTAGTAGTACTAAATTAAGCCTGTAGAAGTATTATATTAAAACTGTAGTAGTACTATATTAAACCTGTAGTAGTAATATATTAAACCTGTAGTAGTAATATATTAAACCTGTAGTTGTAGTGTTACCTTGCAGGGGGGTCTTAGGTGAGTGTGGTTCTGGTTCCAGCAAGTTCAGGTAGTAGTACTGCTGTCTGGTCATTCTGTCAGTCACATGGAACTGGCTGAGCGCCAGCAGCGCCTGAAGAAAACATACAACCATTATCAATACCAACATCTACTTTTTTTTTAAGTATATGTTTTGGGCTTTTATTGCCTTTATGATAGTGACAGCTGAAGACAGACAGGAAAGGGGGTCAGAGCGAGGGGATGAAAGGGTCGCAGGTCAGATTCGAACCCTGGGCCGCTGCA